TGAAAGTGGATCTTAGCTTGAGCTCTACAGATGGAAAAAAAAAACTGATGGGGGAAAACAACATGCAACCTCTTGCAATATTTTATGTTTTTTGCCTAATTAATGTAATCAAGATGAAGGCAGTGACATCAACCCAACAGATCACACTTTGTGGAAGAAAAAAAATCATGACTGTTTTACAAAGGGGTTTTGTCAAAAAATAGCAGAGGATCTATATTCTTATTATTTGTTCTTATAATATTATGGATTGTTATTATATTTGACCACCAGATTTAATCACTACATGAAATATTTCTTATTCTATTAAAATTGCCCCCAAATGGCTGTAACTAGTCTAATTTTGAAGTGCTATTCAAAAGTCTGCATCAGGAACTTGTGCAGTAGAGCTGTACAGTTAAAGCATACTTAATTAATCCCTCCATATTGCAGTTGCTTTCAGCCTTCTATCAACAGCTTGAAATCAAGTAGACGTTGTCCAGGCCACAAATAGTTTATTAAAAAAAAACAAAAACACCACAAAAAAAAAAAAAAACAAACCACAAAACAAAACCAATCCCCACACAACTGATTTTGCCCTCTCCTATTTACCCTTCTAAGACAAATGTAAAAGATGTTGCTTTTGTTGAAAGACTGTAAGCAAATATTAACAATTCATCACATAGAAACGGTCACAGAAGTACATGTAAGTACTCCTTGTGAACATTAGAAATCAAACCACAGCAGGCAAACAGTGATTACACTGAAAAGACCCTCAATGGGCCTACTTAACTGTGTTGCACAATGTCTTGTGAGAAGCTGGAACAAAAGCTAGTAGCCTTTTCCATGAACTCCTCTCCCACGCTGCTGCCATGAATATTTACATGGCAGAAAGCCTCAGGATTGTCCACCCCACTTCCCCCTTTGCTTCAACAACTGCAATGCTTCACGTCAACACGCTGGCTTTTGCTCCAACGAGATGCTTATCCTTGGTGGGTCCTGTGGGCACTGGGACATTACATGGCTTTGCTGCCTACACATAGTGCTTGACTAATGACTAAAGAGATCAGCCAATGCATTTTAGAAGCAATATAGTAAGTCTTTATGTGGGTCAGAGAACACATTTGCCTGTAAAAATAAAATGCTGCCTATAATAGTATTTCTAATTTAGACAGTTGCATGTCCTGGTTCTATCTTTTTCCTCTGATATCAGGCCATCATCACCAGAGAACTGTGAGACAGGATGGCTACAATTATGTTCCAGATTCTGCTATGCCTGTTATCCATACAACTTTCAAAGTAAAAGTACTGAGACTCAGACCATAAAAAACACCACACAACAAAAAAACCAAAAAAACCTAAGTGAAACAAAAAGTCAAAAGACAGCTATCAAATTTTATCAAGATGTTAATAAACCATTTTCTGTTGTTATTATGATAAGCCTAGTAAACAAAAATCTTCTAAATTAATAGTTCAGCTACTGTTCCCCTTGATTAGGCTTGTAAAAGGCGCATCTTTCACAAAGAATATACTTATGGGAATCACATTTTTTTCAAAGGAATTTTAGAAATTATGAAGTTAACAAAAGATCCCAAGATCCAAAGATCCATTATTCAGTCAAGTTATAGATGTTGGTGTTTAAAGGAACAGACTAAAATTTTAGTGAAAATGAAGTGCTAAATTGATTTCTTTTCCTCTTTCACTGTGATATTTGACATCTAAAGCTCCTGACTATTCAAACACTGAGTAAAATACACATTCCCAAATGCACATCCCAGTATCCTCCCCCTTTTTGAAGTATTTCTCTACAATCAAGGTTTTCAGCAAACATGCTTGGAAAATCATTTCACTTGTACATATCTAAATCCCAAAACTCTCAATTTGTTTACCATCTTCCAGATCTACTGTAGTTTTTTTAAGTGTAGTGTGGTACATCCTAGTTATTCACTGTATAGGTCAGAGTGTAATACACAATGTTAGATTTCCACTGACTTAGTACTTGAGAAAATTGATTTAATGTTTAGCAAAAAGAATTCTATTCTCCTAATTTGGAGTTAAAAAAAATATTGGTAATTTGTTGGTATTTATTGTTTTACTAAGCCAGCAAAAAAGAGGCGCTTTCATAGGCATCAGGTGAAAGCATAACTTCATGGGGAAAAGAACCATACTAAAAATAATTGGGAAAGTATCTATCTTAATAGATTCCATCAATTTCTATAACTAGTAAGCAGTGCCCGGTGAAGTTGACTGGCAACCACAGCTTTGATAGCTGATAAATACAAACAGCAACTTTCATTGTTATTTATGAAATGTTGAGAAATTAGTCTGCCATAAACAAATGTTTGAAATTCTGGCCTTGTAGTGTGTGGTTTCAAATAAATCACATTTGCTGGATATAATCTATAATAAGCACACCTTTCAACCTAACCATATGTGGGCACAAGTTTTTTAGCTGCATGACAATGATGAGAATAGAGGCTATCGCAACCTTTACATGAGAATTGCTTATGGTTTTAACCAGACGCATTTGAAGCCAGTGACTTGTTTGGAAGAGGAACTGCCGCACCACACATTCTCACAGGGAAGAGGTACCGCATCTTTCCACACTACAATCACTCTGACCAGTGACGCTTCTAACTAAGGTCATCCCGATGGAGATTCAATGCACTGGGACAGTCAAACGTTTCTGGCATACTAATGTAACTCTGAAAACCAAACAGTAATTGAGACATTTGACGATTCTATACCAAGACAACCAAAACTGTGAGGTTCCCCCCCACCAACAACTGTGGTAGATCAGTTGATACTTATTAGATAATGGCCATCATTCAGTGACATATTACTGTTTGTCTTTCGTGTATCAGGTATAATTTTGGTCTTCCCCTTTGTGGTCTTTCAAAATACAGAGCAAGTAAATATAAAATTGTTATTACTGAGCCTTGCAATGACAGAAAAAGGAGGCAACAAACCAGGAAGACCAGCAAACAGCAGGATTGAAACAATGGAAAATGACAGATTTGCCCGAAAAAGAGAAGATCTATGCCACAGATTATGAACGCTACAAGATGAGTTCACTGAAGACAAAACACAATGACGACTTTACTATGTATAAACATGTGACCTCAGGCTTAGAAAAAACTTCAACTGTTGGAAGCTGGCAAGTATCACTACTTAGTTTATTCTGTCTACATACATAAAGAGACAGACATTTAATATATATTAACATATATATGCACACACACACTCTTTCACCTAATCATCGGCTCTCGGTGACATGTTGAAGATGAAATACTGGGCTCAATGGGCCTGAAGACAACTCCGCATGGCTGTATATGTTACTAC